TTATATTCTAAATTGTTAAGATTAATTTTATTTTTTATCTTTGTGTGATACACTCCGTGACTTTGTGAAGAAAAGTGCTCCTTGAAAAAAGTAAGTTTCATACTTTACTGTAGGCTACTTAAACTAAATTTGCGACCCTTATTTATGACAAAAAAATTCAATGATAAAATAAACTTGAACCTTTTATCGTTTGAGAAGCATTTCTGCTTTATGGGATGCTGCAGAAACTGACAAATAACAAATAAACTATTAAATCTACATAGTTAAAAGAGTAAAAACGTGAAAATAAATATTTCATTCACTTACAGAGAAGATGTTATTAAAACACAACAAAATGAGCCGGTGTGGAGCATTGTGGTAAAAAATCAACAGACGGTGTAGCTGGCACTAGTTCTCGTAGCGCCGAGGCGGAAGGACACGCTGTTGCAGTTCGAAGGTGTAACTTTAGTTGCAGCCCTGTTGCATCAGATCCGCAGGGGATTCGCTGTGCGCTGTAACAATGTGGCCACACCATTGGTTTATCCGGGGAACTTTTCTATTTTCTATTGGCCTGCTATCATTCTCACACTGATTGCTAATCATTACACATTATCACCGACCTGGGACCGGTTTACTGTATGTTCTAAGCAGAGACGTGGGCTGGAAACAAACTCCTGGATGAACTGCAGTTGAGACCATAATGAGACATGCAGCCAATTCAAATCAATTACAGTTCAATTCAGTTGAATTTCTGTATGCTGCTGCTTTACATTCACACAACTTCCCTTTGACTACTGTGTAGGACTATTTTCTTTCATATTGGTCAAATTAAAACACACCTTAAATCTAAATATCAAACCTTCCCTACAATAAAGTTTAATACTTTATCTTACACCTAGGCTTATAACTATACTTCAGACATTTCTCATCGGTAAAATAACAAAATATATTATAAATATCTAATACCAAATATGTTTTTCAAACAATGTATTTTTTAAATTTATTATACTGACATATTGCAAAGGTAGTCTGAGAAAAAGAGGGTAAAAAAAGATGGGTGTAACATGTTTCATTAACCGATGAATGTTTCAAACAAATAACACGTTTATGTTCTGTTACAATTCTAATGTCCATATTTGTAAATGACATTCTTCCTTGTATAGCGAGCTTATTACACTGCTTAGAAAAGTCAAAGATGTTAATTTGAATGATATCAAGCCTTTGCAAAAAAAAAAAACATAATCTCACTTTACAAAATCTGACTTGAAGTAGAGAAGGTGTGCGATAATGAACTAATATCTTTAAGTATATTTTAGAGCACACTGTGTTACATCACTCTTTTTGGGAATGTAGTTAACATGCAAACCGCTCCGCACACAAACATGTATTAAATCTAATTATTTAATGCTTTACCTATTTTGGCTCATTGTCTTTTTTTGCACATTGTTATTGCACTGTGGAATAGTAAACTGTCAATTAAACATGTGAGGAGGGGGGATGTTCTTCCCCTCCTTAGTGTCCTGTACAGTGGTCTGATGTGGAAGCAGGCCTTCTGTGTGGAGATGCTCTGTGGTGTCTCAGGTGTCTTCCTGCAGCACTGCTGGTAGTTTCACAAGATGTTTTTATATATTTCAGGACAGTGTCCCTCTCTCTGAAATCTGAGTTAACTATTCCAATATGACCCTAACAGCATGACATTTGTCTGGTGACAGAGGAGGGGTGGGGGTTTCAGGAGGTAGGCCGTGATGTAAAACAATGCTGCAGAAATCCAAGATGGTGGATGAAGTGACAGAGTCCTCTACAATAAAGATGTTATTGGATGTAGTCACGGTATTAACAAATGAGTGGAAAAGAACATACTGGTGAGCAGAGGAGTTTAAAGCAGCTCACCCCGACTTATAGCAGGAAAAAGTCAAGGTGAAAAATGTGGCTTTTTGTGTCCACTCATGCAACTCATGCACAGTGTTGTGTACATTTGAAAACACCAATAGCTTCAGTAAGATACAATGGACTATTTGTTATCCTAGAAAGATTTATTCCTATCATTTCAGGTCATTTTGGATGAGTAGATTTTTTTTAGTATTAGTGAGCATACTCTCTTTTTTTTTAATTCTGTGTTTGTGAGTGATCTAAATCACGTCAACACTTCATGGCTAAACTGCTGTTCCAATATTTTAAAGTCCAAACTGCTCTGACAAACGATCTCAGTCATGGTTATGCAAAGTTTAAACATTAAGGTATACTGGACTTGGTTGAAGTTTTTGATGACATTTCTTCTTCCATGTAAACAACTTTTAAATGACTACAGCATACACTAGGGAAGTGCTTCTCAACTGGTGGGTCCGGATCCAAAAGTGGGTCGCAGAGCCCTTTTCAGTTATGTTTCCACATGAATGACACATGGCCATTTAACAAGCTGCAACCTCAGGGGCAGAAACAAATCAATCAAGCCAGTCAGTGCTTTAGTGCCAATAACTGCAGCTCTTCAAGCGTCCACCTTAAGGCCCGATATTAAAATGTGCATGATGTAGCAGTTGTAGTGGTTTGTCAGGAGGTTTAAAACCCGCCTCAGCTCCAGCCATCATTATGTCGTCAGGTTGACTGAAAGTCAGGGTGATTCAGGATTTCCAGCATGGCCACCGCTATCAATGGGACTCCAAAGCCCCCTGTAGTAACAAATAGGTGACATCACTCAGTCTTTGTCCATCACAGTCTAAGGTCTCCAGTACTGGGATCGGGGATGAGACTCCAGAGTATCTACCATAGCTAAAGAGGTTTTAAAAAAAATGTTAAATGGATCTGATAACTACACAGATCTTCACGCCTGTTTTGGTAATCCAATTTTTCGACCAAGGATCATGTATTCCAGCTCACTTTTATTCTGGGTTTTTAAAGATAAACTGGATTGGGGCGCTGGTGGCAGAGTGGTTGGAGCGGGCGCCCCATGTGTGGAGGCTGGTCTTCCAGGCGGGTGGCCCGGGTTCAAATCCGGCCTGTGGCTCCTTTCCCGCATGTCATTTCCCACTCTTTCTCCCTGATTTCCGACTCTATCCACTGTCCTATCTCTACATTAAAGGCTCAAAAAAAGCCCAAAAATAAATCTTAAAAAAAGAAAAAAAAAAAAAAAAGATAAACTGGATTAGACCAACCTGATCTAGGTACAGACTTTTAAGGTTTACTAAATCTGGATTTCGAAAGCTTTAAAGGGGACGTTACACTACATGCTTCGTCCACAGGGGGCGCCAAAATCCACACAAACTGAAAGATCCTCACAGTTTATCCTCAATCATTTACACCTCTAATGTGTACAGCATAACACTGAAAAATAAAGAATTCCAGTGTAATATATATTTACACAATCAACCTTCTGGTAAAAATGTTGTGTAAAAATGAAGTTTTCTTACATGTTCCCCCCCTACCATCCGGTCTGAATCAGCCCTGCTGGATGATACTGATTATTTTGGGATCCAATGCTAATAGCTCAAAAATTGAAGAACAACACAAACTGGAGGTTTTATCCAGATGAAACCCGGATTCATTTACCAGATCTTATTCGATTATGTAATCCTGTTTCTTTTTAACAACCCTATTTCAAGATTTCAAGACTTGTAATTTCACCTATCCTCACCTGTTCCTGTTCTTTGTTAACCAACAGGTTCATGAGTAAGAGAATGTAGATCCATGGTCTTTAATGTTAAACATAATCAAAATCAGAGGGACTCCCTCGTGTTACAAGTTTTTGAAGCAGAAATGAAAACAAACGTACAAAAATCCATCCAGAAGTCACTGTAGAGAACTAATTCTTCTGTTTTGTTAATAGTACATTCTCAAAACACTTTCCTACACGTTGACTCACGTTGGTCTCAAACCAGCAAGCTACCCAAAGACAATTCTGATTCTGAACAGTTCCTCTGTTTTTAAAGAGGCTCTAGATCAGTGGTGCTCAGGTACCACCATCAACTCCTTCATGCAACACACGTTATTCCTCCCTTTAAACCAATCATGTATATATTCAAGGAAAAATTGTGCAGTTTGGGTCTTAGAAGGTCAAAAACATGTAAAAGAACAAAGAGATGAAACAAACACCTCACAAGACTTTATTGACTTTTTTCCCCCCATGCAGGCACATATTGTCACATAAAGCAGCTCCTCAACTCACTTTTGGGTCCCGACCCACCAGCTGAGAACCACTGCTCTATATGATGGTGATATGATCTACAGACATGCTGCTGCTTCCACTGTTAAACCTCTGCATCAGTCTACATCCATAATGCTGCCTTCAAATGCAACTCTAAAGCCTCGTTTTCACCGAGCAGTCCGGTATGGATCAGTACAGTTTGGTTCGGTAAAGCCTGATCCTGTTTGCATTTCCACAGCCAACCGTAGTTACCTTACTCTTTTTTTGGTAGGCGGCATGTAAGCCGGATGCCGTGTAAGCCGGATGCACGTAATCGCGTGACATGATAGCAGCGCGACACAGTATACCCCGCTAATAAATTTGACGAAGAAGAACACATCACAGTCAACAAAGAGCAACAATGGAGGACATCCAGCAATTTCTCATTGGCTTTTGGTTCTATGTTACAAAACGCAATGAAGCTCTGTTTCAGACGAGGCTGTGTGGCGCGAGGAAAAATACAGCCATCCTTTATTACCGCTGTCGCACCGGAAGTGACGATCCTTTTGACCAATCAACAGACTGCAGTGTTTAGCTCCAGCTTTTAGGGTCGGATCGGTAGACTTGGCACCCCAACAGAAGGGTAGCAAAAAGTAGGACGGTACGGGACGGTAATTTGGGGACCTGTCTCGACTTTTGATAGTGGAAACGTCACAAAATGTGTGCCGTACCGTGACAAACCGAACTGAACTGCTTGGTGGAAACTGGGCTTAAAGTAGTTAAGTCGTGTACAGGAAAACCCCGGGGTTAACCCATGGGAACAATGTTGGACACCAAAAGAATGATTGTTCCCCTCCTGGCTTTCTACATGGAAATGCTAACATTACATTATTTCTGTGTGTGTAAACACCATGCGGAGGAACAGGAGACTAAAGAAGAAAAAAGGTGAAGATCTAGACTAACAATAGATTAGCAACAGGTGGTGAATACCATGTGGTCATATGGTCTCTTCTCATGAACACAGTAAACCTGACCCCATTTGAATGCACGAGATCTGTTGACTTTGACTTCATCTGTTATCATCAGGAGATTATCTTCCCCGTTCCTGCTTGACTAATACACAACTCCTCCATTATCATGGCTGTTGTATTGTCTGTTGGAGTTTTTCTGTCTCTCTATCCATCTCCCTCTTGCTGGCTCTCCCTCTGTCCCTTTTTCTTGGCCCACACAGTCTCAGCAGATGGCTGTTCACCATGAGCGTGGTTCTGATCGAGGTTTCTGTCTTTCTTACGTCTTCATTTGCAAAAAGGATTCTGGCTGCTCTGAAGAAAGGAGGTCCAAGAGTTTATGAGCAGAGTTATCAAATCTGGGTTTCTAGAGGTTTTAGAGTCAGGGGGATGGCTGGGGAGCAGAGCTTGAGATCCTGCAGCTATAGGGGATTGGATCACAAGGGCAGGTGGACCATAGATCTGGTCACAGGGAGAACCAATACCAGACTGGGTAAATGAACGATCTGGTGATGAGTGGACCACTGAATGCAGCTTTGATTCTGTGAAGTGTGTAGGTGGCTTGATTGCATATGAGCAGCAGGTGTACAGGCTTGATTGGTGACAAGGTGTGAGGATCCACAACAAGGCACAGGTGAAACTGGTGAGGGCGATCAATATGGAGGGAAGTCATACAAAGGGAGGAAGAAAGACAAGACTAGAAACACCGGGGACATAGAACTTCAAAGTTGAAACAGGAAACACTGAAGACAAGACGAGGGGAAATGCCCCACGGGGAAATTTTAGAAGCACAAGGAAAGGAAAAGACCAAATAAAAAACAGGACAAGCTAAAAACTTAACCCAGGAATATGAACAGAAAAACATGCAGGAAACAGAGAAACACAAGGATACAAACAAAGGACAAGATAAAACAGGAAATGAAATTTAACAAATAAAAACAAAACAAAAAGAAAACTAAGGTAAATCACAACAACTCTCTTCCCAGCTAAAAATAATGACATCATAGCTGCTGACAATTAATCAGCCTACTGAGTGTATTTTAACAGAATGATTAAACAAAATTGATAAATATAAAGAAATATATATATATATATACATATATTGTAACTTTAGTTGTGTTTTCAGAGTTCTGTGTTCATGCTGGTCGCTCCTCTCGTCCTTCTGTCATGGATGAGAATTCAAACACTTTGCACCGCAATGCATGATGGTATATATTGCTGGCTTAGTGACCAATGGTTGTACAATCGTTTTATCAATGCATTGTGGGATACAGTGAGTCAACTATATAGGGTGTGATAATGCTCACAGAATTTCGGGCTGCACTACAGAATGACAAAAGCCTGATATAGTGTGTAGTGTGTGATGTGGGACACAGTCTGGGGTCTTCACGCTTCCTGTTTAAAGGAAGTTTTCCTCCTCAGTGTTACCAAATGGGTTAACGGTCAACTTTTGCAATGATTTGGCCTCATACAAATAAAAATGGAGAGATCAGGATTGTAAAGTACATCCTGTATTCATGTGCTCGGAACATGTTGGATTTATTACCACAATCTCTCCCGATCAAGACGATGATTTGAAACTCCTTCACCTCACAGTGATATTGGTTTCAATGAGTATTTTCCTCTTTAGTTTCATTTATTCCACATGTTTCCTGTTTGTTGAAATCCTATCTGATTAGAGAAATCAGTGGTTTCCTGGGATTAAGTAAATGTTATTGTGTCTTCTCAGCCGGTTGTCACTGTGTTTGTGTGTCCTCAGCCTCCTGACCTCCCTGCAGCCAGCATGTTCTCCCTGACAGGGATAGTGACACTGACAGGTAAGATGTGGGGAGGTCGACAGGCTGGCTGACACCCAGCGTGTCCCGCTGCCCTCATTAGTAAAACCAGGACGGCTCCGCAGGCTTCCCGGCTGTCTATCCTCGGCCCCCCTCAACAGCCAAAAAGCTGATTGAAGCAGCCAGGTCTTCCTGTTGCTATAGTAATAGGCAACACTGGCTCACCCTTCTTTAAAAAACATGTTTTTGGCATTCCTGAAGCCGCGGGTTTTCACGGCCTCCCCCTCGGAGCTCTTCTACACCCCCATTGTTTACAGTGCTCGTCGTGCTATTCTTGCAGACGGTGCAGTTTTTTATTATGCATGATGCACCTCTTTAGTCGCGCATGAATTTGTAATCATGCCAGGTCGAGGGGATCAGAAAAAGTTGTGTTGATATGTGCAATGCCCGTGCAACAATTTAAAATTGAATCTGTTTTATAACTAAAACTAAATCAGATGTATGTAGAAATGTGTGTTTTCCTACATATATAGGCTATCACATTTTCCCCAAATAAAGCATAAAAATAGTTACAGCAAAAACACAAATACCAGACAAATACATACGTCTAGTAAATCCATGTGCAAAGTATTTCTGGTTTGCACGTTATTAAAGGAATTACAAATATTCAATCTTCTCAATATTTTTTTAAAGCAATCCCAATGACTAAGTCTCCTTTATTAATTAAAAAGTCCATATTGTACTCTGATTGTACTAACAGTGTGGACAATTTCAGGCCCTGCTGTACATAAAACCAGGAAGAAAAGATTCTGAATTTGAAAAGCAACCAACAGTGTTTCAATTAAAATGTCAGGTTAAATTGTCATCATAGCAATAGAAGGAAAGGAAATAGAAAACAGACATTTAAAATAAGAAACTCAATCTTATGAGGTAAAAAAACTTATGAGGTAAAAAAATTAGACGTGAAAAGTGTAAAAACACTTTTCACGTCTAATTTTGACTTCATGTTGAAAATGCGTGCATACATTTTAGATTTGAAGGAATAAAACACAAATATTGGCAGTGATCTTGGCACAATTTAAAAACCTCCCGTACTGTAAATTGTGTGTAAATATTCTGACAGTTGAGTCCTCAGATTACAGTGTTTTGTGCAATGTAGTGAATCTACAATGAATTCCTGATCCTGCTGCCGGTTTTCTGTACTGCGGCAAAATGATTGCCTACTTTTTGTGCAGTATTGCCCTCCATCTGTCCGTTTGTACTGTACAAACCATACAGGAGCCCCTCTCCAGCAGTGCATCGTGGGATGGGAAGAGCCTCCTTCAAAGACACAGGCGGCCATGCACTCCTCTTACCATGGCACATTGGTATCAGTTACACCATAATTTCATCACCAGCAGCTCCCTGAGAATCCTGCTTACATTAACTTTTTACAGGGATTGGCAGCACTGAGGCAGGGATGCATGGCAGTGCCAGCGCTTGAACCCGTTTAAATTCAGCCTCCTTTTCAATAGTTGCTCCCAACATATTGTTATTTGTTGATGAAGTGTTGTATTTGTAAGAACAAACGTTGTGAATTGTGCAGAATCCCTGCAGTTACAGTGGGATTACATTGGGAGAAAAAAGGCGAGGGGGATTAAAAAAACAAGAGGATGGGAGACTTCAAAGTGTTAAAGTATGCAGGGCTGCGTTTGAATGACGGCCGGCGTATTGTTTTGATAAGTGTTCCCCCGAGGAGAACATGTGAGGGAGGGTGTCACTCTGTGCTCTCATCTCTGCGATACGGAGCCAGGCACCGGGGGAACGTCAAAAAACCAGCCACAATTATGGAGTGCATGAAACAATACTGCAGCACACACACGAGCACACACACTGCACAAATTAATTTGCTTTAAACATGAACCTAAATTAACATGTTAGACCCTGAGATGAGGATGATAATACTGCTGCACAGGGAGCGAGGAAGAATGGCAAATGTAGATAATTTAATTCAATCCCCTCGACACACACACACACACATCTGCTTTCATCACCACTCATTGTGATTTTATCAGCTGCTCTCAGTGCTTGTAACACATCGTCAAACACTGTAAATCTCTCTATTTGTTTACAAAGGGTCTGAAAATTTAATTATTGTCTCGACGTTGCTGCAAACGGATGCAAATTACAACAGCAACATAAATAAACATGAATTCATTAACCCATTACTTTGGCCATGAACATCTCACGGATGATGAAACAGTGAATACTTCACATCTAACTATGACATGTGATATTAGATTAAAAAAAAAAAAAAGTGATTATTTCACAAATGAAGATCAAAGATTTGCAAATAAATACATCCGATTCTAAAACACATACAGCATATTTAATTTGTGTGAAAACTGATTGAAATGTGACATTTCCTCTAAAAACTCTCCCCGTTTCATCCCACTGTTGTTGAATCTATAGTTCATAGAGCAGAGGAGAAATAAGTAAACACAAGTTATTTCACTAGAAGTCAATTGAAATCCAAATGTAAGAGCAACATGACTTTAATAATTACATTAATCAATGAATAGATTACATGATAATAATGATAAAACATGGTAAGTGTAATGCAGTGGTCTCTAAACTGAGGGTTAGACTCCCTCAATGGATTGTGAAAGAGAAAAAAATGAAAAATAACTGCTTAAATTCCTGGCTCAAGATTTGTTTATCGCTTTTCTTTTTTCAGTTTCTTTCCGTTTTCTCACTGAACGCTGGCCTCGAAAAAATTGTCAAATGAAAACAGTCTAATAATGAAATAAATCTAAATCTCTCTTCAATTCCGCCGCTCACAAATCAAAGACGTGCAATCTGTCACGAGCAGTTGCAGGCTGATGCTGCTTTGGGGTCACAAGAAAGTCAAGTGGAATCAATTTGAGGCATTATATATATTGCCCCGAAATCACAAATCTGCCGTCAGAGCGTTTGCAATTTGTACAGAACACAAACTGGATTCAGAAAAAAGGAGAAGAAGAGAGATCTCTCTTCCAGGACGACAGACAAGGAAGAGTGATGCATCTGACCGACTGTGTCGAACTAAAATCACATAAAAAGCATTGTGTTCTCCTCCTCTCGTCCATTCTTACTTCAGAGGTCATAGTGCAAAGGATGTGAAATACAAAGATGTCTACCGTTGCACCCAAAACTACATAGTTCAATTATGAGTTGTTTTTCTAAAATCCACATTAAAGGAGCGTTTTTCTCTTACTGTGAAAAATGTGTTTCTTCCATTTTCAGACTCTGGCAGCTGAGCGTTTGAATGTAGAGCTACTTCCTCATGTGAAGCCGCAAGATGTCGTTTGTATTTTCTATTTTAGAACCGGTAAGAACCGAGATCATCAGCTAATAGCGTTCGTTTTATTTCATTACTTGAATTCAGATAAGAGGTCTTCTCTTAACCGTAATCTTTGCTCGCTGCTCTTTTGACTCGTTTCAAGCCTTTCAGGTCTTGTATTTTTTTTTTACATTTGATTTCTTTAAATGTAACGTTTATCTGGACTTGTCATGTAATGTAAGTGTTATGAGACCTTGCTGTGACAACAAAGGCCTTTGAGATGGTGAAGAGGAGGGAGACTTGTTGTTTTTAAATCTCACATATTTGACATCATTTATGTGTGTAGGCTACAGTAAATGACATTTTCGCTCTTTATGGCAATTTGGCCTCATTACGGCTGTATGCTTCTTCTTTTTTTAGTACGGGATCATTTCCCGTCTATTTATATTTCAGACCTGTGGGTGCCATGAGCGTGTTTTTCAGGATTTCTATTAAGTGAGTGACGTCGGTGGCGTCAGTCTGCAATGTGAACTGATTGGTCCTCTTGGGTTAAAACCTATTTAATATGATCATTTCCAGTGTTGGTGTTTTTGTTTTTTAAATAACCTGATGACGTATCTCTGTACAAATAAAAAATGTTTTTCATCATTTTCCCACAATGACAGCAGAAGCAGACACCGTAATGAAGTCCTTTGTTTCCTCTGCTTTGTGGGCACCTCTGTCGCTTGCAAAACACCTGTCACTATAGGGTACGACGCTAATGATAACTTGTCGACACCTCGTGATACAATTAAGAAATAAATGAAAATGTGGACAATTTAAATCGATTTCACAAAAATACGCAACGTGAGACTCTTTTTTTGATTCCAGCAGAGGGCGCTATCTGCTTCAGACTCCTCTCGTTAGACGTCAGCAGCTGAAGAAGAGAGTTGTACAGACATGGCGGAAGCGAGTGAAGAGTTTGTGGGGACAAGTGCAAGTAGAAAGTGTGGTTCAAGTGAGGTAAGCAGAAAAAACCAACAAGACAAAAACAGAGTGTGAATATTACAAGAGACTGATGAACGACAAAAAGAGCAAGTCTGAGACACCAAAACATCTTAATAACATTAAGAAGAAGATTTGAAACCCCCACCTCGCTCAAATGAGTAAGAGCCACAGAGATTTCTACATGCAGTGGTGTTTTACGTATTGAAGCTGATGATTAACATGTTAGAGACAGTTATGAGGACCAAACTTCACAAGAACATGAATAAAAACTTATATTAGGTGACACAAAATTGAGAAATTTCAGTGTCTTGTAAAACCTTTTTGAGCTTCAGTGCCACAAACACAGGAAATGTGTATTTAAATATATTTTCAATATTAATGTTTGACATGTTTTATTGATTTGGGATTTGTTTTAAAATAATTCTTTTATCTGAAATTAAAATGTCAAAAATGTATTTTGTAAAATATAATTACAGCCACTTTATAATAAAGAATACATCTGCATTGTTTTATTTGTATCTTTACAAACACAACATTTAAAAGCTTATTGTATAAAAAGAAAAACAAGGAAAATTAGATTTTTCATATTAATTGTCAGAATTGAATTAAAAGAATCATAATTATTCATACATCGACTTCAAACTAATTCTTTAAAACGGGATGAAATCCTAATGTGGGTTTAGTTTTAAGTTACATATTGTGTTGTGACTTGAGCGAATCATTATGTCCCTACATTTCACTCTTCTCTTGACTATCAGTCACTGTCAAAATTAAAGCAAAACGGCAAAATCATATTCCAAAAAAGAATCAAAAAAATACGTTCTGACCTTCAAAAAAGAGCAACAACCTTTCTTTGCAGACCTGCTATGATAATACTATTATAACAGAGTCTTACATCAAACTAGACTCATGAATAAAGACAGGTGAGGAGGTTTATTGGCCGGGACAGGTCGTCTAAAGGTGTCAGACGACTATGACGTTTAACAACATTTTCACCACACTTTCTCTCCTGCAGCAGGAATACTGATTATTTCATTACAAAGCCAGATATTTATCTAATCTGAGCTTTTTAGCTCACACACACAAAGATGAGTTTACGCCCAGAGAAACCCACATTACTAGATTACTGTTGTCTTTCTCAGGGTATTCCACCGCAGTAACGATGTTGTGGTTGTGGGGGGAGAGAAAGCGCAACGAGCCGTCCCAGCGATTTCAAGTCATCGTGGTCTCATTACAGCAGGCTGTTGGTAATCCTCTGCCTTTGATGTGGGAGCTGAAGGGAGCTGTGTTTTACTGTAGTTCAAACAACGTTCTCCCTGCTCCCTCAGCACCTCCACCACCAGGAGGAAGCTGAGGAGCCACAATGACAAAGACACAGAGAGAGAGAGACAGAGAGAGAGAGAGTCGAGGAGGCTGGTTTGTTTTTCCAGCTGAATGCAGATGACAAAGAAACACACATGAAGGTTTGTCGGTGGTGTGGGAGTCGATGTGAGGTTAACCAGGAGGAGATTTGTTCCATGGGGGAGACACAACAATAGGCTCAGATGGAGCAATTCAAGTCTACTGAGAATATTTTATTCATGCCCCAAGGGAGGGATTGAAGGCAGGCGAGACCACACGAGACCAGAGAGTCATACATACACATGAAGGAGACGAAATATGGAACGACAGCTTCATTATACACAAAACTCTGTTCATAAAAAACTGCCTTTATCAGATATTAGTGCACAGTTTCTGCTGAATACTGGATTATGATAGGTTAATTACACAGACTGTATATAAAGATGGACAGAGAAACATCCACCTGGGAGTGAAGCAAAAACACTTAGAGCTCCTCGGTCATAGGCCCCACCTCCTCTATGTTAACAGATGTGCAGGGGTCAAACTATAAGTGGATTGTTCTGACAAAATAATATAATACTTGATTCACACCCAGCAGACCTTTTCACAGGAGTTGACCAGCCTCAACAGCCAAGTAAAGCAAGCCCAAAGAACACACAGATAAATTTCCCTCCACCGTGTATTGAACAGGAAGAGGTTAGTACAACAACAACCATCAACAGCGCCACAATAAATCCAAAATACCCCAGAGTCTGTTTCTCAGTCTCAGTATTTACAAAAGTAGAGTTTGTATGTCTGTTAACAGTTTTAATCGTCCGAGTGAGACCTCCTGTGCACTCACACTGTTTGAACCACAACCATCGGCGCTGTTAGCGTTTACTCACAACCTCGCCGGCTCTGTTGTGGAGCAACACCCAGAGTTGAAAAGCCAGGGTCAATCTAGTATTTGAAGCTACTGATGAACGAAGACTACGATGAGATGCTAAGGGCTTGTCGAAGACGTGGACACCTGGACAGAATGATCCTCTTCCAGTTGCCGTGGTGATCTACTGCCATTTTTAAAGACATATTATTTCCCATTAGGGGGTGTGTCTGTGAGTCAGGGGAGGTGCATCCTCTGATTCTTTGGAGTTCGTTACCAGCACAATATGTCAGAACCCGTCATGGGGATATTTTGGCTACACTTTTGACAGACAACGATGGAAACATGCTGTTCATATTATTTTACAGTCAATGGATAATTACAATGTTGTGCTATTTCTGTTCAACTGACCAATGCCATCGCCACAGTATAGAGGACGAGGTCAATCGTATCAATACACAGGAAGAAGGCAGACACATTTAATGAAGTGAAAGAACAGAAAATAAACAGGTTGGATATGAACCCTCGGCCCTTTGCTGCATGTCACCCCTGCTCTCCCTTCCCTTGGTTTCCTGTCACTGTCCAGCTTTCACAGTCAAATAAAGACACAACTTGCCAAAACGATACGATAAACACATCAGAATATTCAAGTGGAGGGGTTACAAGACATCAAACAGGGTCTTGAAGTTGAACTTAGGGATGTTAATTTAGAAAATAGTGAAAAGGTGACCAGAGTTTTTCAAACTTCATTGTGTTAGTTGTTTGAAATGTGCTCCGTGGTATGATAATAAGTCTGGTGATGTTTCTATATGTCGTTGCTCCGCTGGGTTTTCCACATGGAAGCTCATGTCATCATTCAAGTCAAACGCACCAATCAGGAGCCGGCATGAGCAACAATAAACAAGAATTGCAACATGACTTTAACAGTGTTTTTCTGGTTAATAAAAACATTGTTATATTTTCTTCACTTTAAGGTAGCCCGGGGTGATTCTCATGCATCCTCCTCAGACCTGCCGACAATTCAAACACCTTTTTTTGTAAGCTGTCAAACAGAAACTCTTACTGGGTACATTAAAGTTCTGATTATTTTTCTCAACAGTAGACAAAATCAGCACATGCTGCAAATTTTAAAATGATACACATTCATCACTTATTTTCTTTTAGAATGAATTTTACTGGTTTAATATGTCAATATATTTCACATATTTCTTTTCTTACTTGCCTTCTGTCATTTAAATGAACTGTTATTTGTACAATGTCTTTGTGGTATGTTCTTTGCCTTGTTTAATTTATACCGTGTCACAAAATTAGTGTTGTATCAAAGAGAACAAAGTATGAAATGAGTTTAGGAAAATTAAGTTATTAATGGAGTGCTGTGACAATAATTCATCTGGTTTAATGTAAATTTAATTGTTTCATGTACAGTATGTGTTATCATTTTGAAAATGTTGATTCTAATGCAGTGGCTCGTCTCATTATGTCTTAATTTAAAAATCAGATATAAGTCATGAAGCCTTTTAAAGTATTTTTTTCTTTCAATTCTCTCGTTTTATCTTTTGAATATCAAAAAGTCAGGCATATAACACAAGATAGTTCTCACCCTCAGGGTCGCCATTGTAGCTTTGAAGCAGCAGAAAAGGACACGTTAATGGCTCATACAGCGGAGTAAATCTCCAGAGTAAAAGTAAAAGCACATTTATATGAATAAATCTGACCTAAAGACAAGTGAGTCAGTCTTTTTTATACAAATGTTGGCAATAGTGCTTGGTTGTAATTTCCCTTTAAAATTAAGATGTAAAATGTTGCAGTATTTATATATTTGTGATACATACTACAGCTGTGTTGTATTTTCAAACATGCACATAACTCCATAAATGTCCCAACATTTTCCAGATTGAGCTGCATGTGTGAATGCAAACAGCTGAATTTTTGCCACGAGACCCTCTGGTGAACTTTTCTGTGTGAAGGTGGGTTGAGCGGATATGAGAAAGCAGCAGAAAATATTCAGGTATTCAGATTCACCGTGAGCAAGATTAACACATTAATCCCCTTATAAGGACATTACTATAGAAACAAATCACAAAATACTTATTTACAATTTTTTTTTTATTTCAAAGATTCAGTTCAGTGAAAATTGTTTACATTAAAAATGTGAATCAAGTAGGTCATTCAAAGCTAACTGGAATGTTAAAACAGAGGTATTTAACAATGATAAACAAAGAGTGCCGAGGTATCTGACGGGGTTTTCTCCTTTGAGTCCTAAGACCCTCAAATCACACAAAATCTAAAAAGCAGTGTCCAGGTCTCTGCAGCACCTAAGGGATTCCAAACAAACAAAGGAAGAGCTGCATGAATCTTACACATCCCAAACAAGAGAGGAAACAGAATCTCTGTTATATCCACCACCTAAAGCTCAACATATCCTCACTCGAGCACTGCAGACACACACACACACACACACACACACACACACACACACACACACACACACACACACACACACAAATGAGAATCACACACTCTCATAGCCTCACTGTCAGCTCATCGCTGGCTCATGTACCAGCGCTGCAGCTTTCTGTTTGTCCCTGATCTTGAACATTTTGGTAGAATGTGGATTCCAATAAAGGCTGGTTAAACAACAGATTTTATTCCCCGACTCAAGAGGGCCCCGCATGACCCAGAGGCGAAAGCTGCTCCTTTGAACGTCTAAATCCCCGTGCAGC